AGAAAAATAGCTCAAATCGCAATGGTACATAATGTGATATGCGGGCATACATCATCGAGACACATTATGAACGAAATCAACATTAGAACACCACGGCATTGGACGAGAGACACAGCATTCCTATCTCTACCAATACGACACCGTGATTACTCCAGATTTGAACCAATCAATCATATGCTGTCTACATATAACGATTTCTATAACAAAATTATGCCAATTAAGCCACCCTTAACTCATAAAGAAAATGAGAATTATCATAATGTTCATACTTCAGTCTGTGATACTTATTTAATTGATTTTAACACGAGTACAAATACTGTTAAACAGAGAATTAATGAATATTTTAAAAGAAATAGATTATGGAGAGAATAACAAATTTTATGCAAATCAACCAATATAACCAATATAATATAATGTAAATATATAAAAGGATATTTATATCAAATAAACCACCTCTGGCGAAGAAACGCTGTATGGTGCAGAATTATTATTATTATACTTATTGTCTAAAATTACCATATATTGTACAAACACAAAAAGATCAGGTTTTTCACGACTCTTGGAGTCGTTTTCCTGCAAACCAAAATATTCAGCCAGTTTTTGGCGGTGTTAAATAAATAAATAAATAAATATCATCGATACTGTTATCATCTTCTGAATTGGATAAAACATCACTTTCAAACGAAGAGAGCAAATCATCTTCGTAGTCACTCATTTTCGTTGTCAGACTTTATTTACACAACTTAATTTTGATTGTCACAGCCGCTATAATTTTTGCCTTCTTATATTTTTTCAGTTGACATATGAGGTACGTTGACATTGAAATGCTGAACGCGGGTTAAGCGGGTTAGGAGAGTGAAGTGGTGATTACAGAGGGGCGCTATTTCCAAGAAATTCTGATAGGGAGTCATGGGATCGCAAGTAAAATAATCAATAATAATTGATTTGCAAATTTGTATTTTGAACTTTTCTTTGATTATTCAAAATATTTCAGATTTGAATACCAGCTTTTTTCGATACTATTCATCACATTCGGTGGTTTGTGGCTGAAAATTGCGCCAAACAAAAATCATTCACTCATCATTCATTGTGAATCACATAGCAAACGGTCAACATTGCTGCCATATGATTAATTTCAGTTTGTGTTAATGTGAAATACATTATTCGTTTTCAAAATCATGATCAAGCTTTTTTTCGGCGATGTGAACCAAAATTTTTCTTGCCAAAAATCAAATATAAAAAATGTTTTAATACAACTCAAAAGACTCATTGTATGTACTATTGAAAGTTAGTTGACGTTTTTTTTCTTCTATAAATCGAATCTGTGTGAATTTGTTATTTATTTTCATCGAAGGTTGGCCAAAAAGAGAACATGGTGTCCGCATTCCAGGAATTTTTATTCACGTTTTATTCATCGCACCTGGAAGAAAATTCACCATCCCAATTGACATTGGGTAGAACATTCGAAATGACACACGGCCGAACGCTTTTTGCTGAAGAATTTATCGGTGGAACAAGTTATGCCAAAACATATTTTTGGTCATTCGTTCGGAATATTCATTGACTTAATTCACTTTTGGCGTGCGATGCAGATGCGACACTGCGCCTTCTTGACAGTTCTCATATAAATGAGCCCAGAAGCGCCAACTGGTGCAAGAACATGTAATAGAACCGTTGTATAC